TTTTGAGACAAGAAGAAGGATGTGGTTACAGAATGATGGGTGCCTTGTACACTATGCTAGTGCACACAAAAAAGAGTGATCTTGGCTCAAGATCATCTATCTTCAATTAAGGAACCGTGACTTCGATATGTTTCTAAGACATATACAGGGTGTCCGCAAAGTTGGGGTTTTCCTTTACACGACGTGTAGATCTTGAAAACATAAGCAATTTTTCTTAGTACCATATACACCAAAGTCTTAAGGAAACCGAGATAAAGGGCTCTGCAACATCAAAAATATCTGAATACCGTCCTGTAGCCGCGACCCGCGACATCCCCGAGTGGTACAAGGTCACTGGCTCAACCAGACGACAGAACTGGGTCGGGGTCAGTGTGTCAGGTGAGTATGCAACCGTCAACTGACGGTTACGGTCACGCGTGTAGAGGTAATCGCGTAGACGAGAATCCCTCAACAAGCACCAGAGACGTGGCTAGAGAAGTGCAAGGTATCAAAAACTAAAGTGTGGCAAACGCTGCGTAAAGAGGGGCTGTATCCGTTTCACGTCCAACGTGTACACGCCCTTCAACCTGACGATTTTCCACCAAGAGTGCGGTTTTGTGAGTGGTTGTTACATCAACATGACAATAATCCGGACTTCTTGAAGTGCATATTAGTGACAGACGAATCTACGTTCACGCGTAATGGGGTGAATAACTTTCGCAACACTCATGCTTGGTCAGTAGAAAATCCGCACGCAGTCCGTCGGGCACATTTTCAACAAACATTTTCGGTGAATGTTTGGGCTGACACGGTGAACGGTATGCTCATTGGACCATTTATTCTCCCAAATAGATTGGATGGGATGCAATACCTATTTGCCTTCCTTGTTAGAAGATGTGCCATTAAGTGTAAGACAATCAATGTGGTTTCTGCACGATGGTGCACCGCCCCATTTTAGACGCGAAGTGCGTGAGCTTTTAAATGAATTATTGCCGAATAGGTGGATCGGACGTAATGGACCCGTGGCGTGGCCTTCGCGATCTCCAGACTTAACACCATGTGATTTTTTTCTTTGGGGAGAAATGAAACGCTTAGTGTACGAAACTGAAGTGCATACGGTTGACGAACTTCGTCTCAGAATTGAACAAGCTGGTGCATTCATTCGGGGGAGGGACTCCATTCTCAAAGCCTGCACCGATGCTTGGCTACGTCGTGCACGCACCTGTGTTTTTGAATCAAACGACGATAACTTCGAACAATACCTATAAAGTACGTTTACCTAAAAACTAAAAACGCGGCAACGCCGTCATATTTGTTACCTCTGTTCGTGGTCTGCACCACCGCCAGCGTCTGCTCGGTAGCGCATCAGCTGATTTCATTTTCTGTTGGAACGGTATGATTTCGGGCAGAGACGTACTTAGCCCTTCTCGTCAACTGGCGAGTGAGTACTTTTTCCTTTATTTTTTTTTTACTTGGTCGCCCTCGTTTCACTACACATTACCTTTGTTATTTCAAGGGTAGTTGTTTCTGAAAAGGAAAACCCCAACTTCGCGGGCACCCTGTATCTTTGAATTAAGGTCAATTTCTCAATTGTAAGTGCTACGTATCTTTAAAACAACGAAATTACCTCATTTGAAGTATCTGTGATCTTTCATAGAAACTCATGCTCTTGAATCAAAACACTCTTTTTGTGTGTGCTGTATGGGAGTATCTAGATGAAACAGTCCTTAGAAGATGGATTGGCTGGCTAGGAAAAAAATTGTGGCTCTCACGTTCCTCAGACCTGAAACATCTGGATTTTTTTACTATCGAAAATCAGTTCCATCAGCCGATAAGCTGCGTCATCGAATCCGTCAAACAGCACGCAAAATACCCGATTTAAGCTTGAGACGTTTAAAAGGACAATTTTCAAGAAGATGCAGGTTGTGTATAAGAATCGGTGGTAGACAATTTGAAAATCTGTTCTAGTGTAGTGATAATAATACTTTATATATTTATATTACAAGATGTAAATTTAATTTTCATTTAGAAGATGCTAGTAACGATTTCTAATTCTTTATTTGATTTGAATGATGTAAAAATCAATGGAAACAAAAAAATGCATTATAATTTCTGTTTATTATTTTCGTGCCTGCAAACAACAATGAATAAAAAAGGATAATGGGTAGCAGTTTTAGACATTTTCTGAAATAAAAAGATATCACAGCAACTACAAAGTTGTAATTTGGACACAAAAGACACCTGCACTTATTATTTTTTATTTGTAGTATATACAGCGTGTCCGCAAAGTTGGGGTTTTCCTTTTCAGAAACAACTACCCTTGAAATAACAAAGGTAATGCGTAGTGAAACGAGGGCGACCAAGTAAAAAAAAATAAAGGGAAAGGTACTCACTCTCCAGTTGACGAGAAGGGCTAAGTACGTCTCTGTCCGAAATCATACCGCTCCAACAGAAAATGAAATCAGCCGATGCGCTACCGAGCAGACGCAGAAACCACATTGATTGTCTTACACTTAATGGCATATCTTCTAACAAGGAAGGCAAAATGTTGCATTAAAGTCTAGGTATTGCATCCCGTCCAATCGATTTGGGAGAATAAATGGTCCAATGAGCATACCGTTCACCATGCCAGCCCAAACATTCACCGAAAATGTTTGTTGAAAATGTGCCCGACGGACAGCGTGCGGATTTTCTACTGACCAAACATGAGTGTTGCGAAAGTTATTCACCCCATTACGCGTGCACGTAGATTCGTCTGTCACCAATATGCACTTCAAAAAGTCCGGATTATTGTCATGTTGATGCAACAACCACTCACAAAACCGCACTCTTGCTGGAAAATCGTCAGGTTGAAGGGCTTGTACACGTTGGACGTGAAACGGATACAGCCCCTCTTCACGCAGCGTTTGCCACACTTTACTTTTTGACACTTGCACTTCTCTAGCCACGTCTCTAGTGCTTGTTGAGGAATTCTCGTCTACGCGATTAGCTCTACATGCGTGACCGTAACCGTCGGTTGAAGGTTGCATACTGACCTGACACACTGACCCCGACCCAGTTCTGCCGTCGGGTTGAGCCCTTGTACCAATCGGTGATGTCCCGGGTCGCGGCTACAGGACGGTATTCAGATATTTTTGATGTTGCAGAGCCCTTTATCTCGGTTCCCTTAAGACATTGGTGTATATGGTACTAAGAAAAATTGCTTATGTTTTCAAGATCTACACGTCGTGTAAAGGAAAACCTCAACTTTGCGGACACCCTGTATAAGTATTACGACTTCAGTGACAAAAATTAGAATTATTCAGTTTTCAGTAAAAAGAACCTACAAATGCTATATTATTCTTGAAAGAGCATTAAATAGCTAGTTCTTAAAGTCATTTGCTGATTCAGTCTAGTACATTTGTTATCACAGTAATTAGTCATACTTTAGTAAATGTTTTTGCATAGAAACCAAATGTAATATTTTTTTTTAGCATACCGTGCTAGTTTTCAATGAAATTAATACTCCGTGGTCTCAAACAACTATTAATTCCAGCCCAGGGAAAAAATGACAAGGTTGAAGTTCTTTATAGCCATAACAGGAAATAAAGGAGTGAAAACTAGTGATTTTTGAAAAAAACTTGAAAGTGGCAATTTCTCGAAAACTAGAAAGCTTCTACTAAGGTCATGTTGACTTTACGTGATTGACCAATCTCCGGTGTCACTCTGACGTGTTAGTTTTGGGACCCCCTGTATAAATGGAACCTAAATAATCAAACTGACCTCCCATTGTCAACCGTTTAAGTCAAACTCTGGAATAGGCTATAAGCAAGCGCGTTGGCTACTTTGCCGCTCTAGAGCAGAGTGGTGAAGTTTTCAATTTTGATCTGCCCACGGCAATCATTAACTCTAGGGGCTGTACTTACCACGACAGTTTAAGCAAAGCAGCTGTGTCGCACACATTTAGATGCGCCGCAGCTTGCTAGAAAGGCGTATGAAAACATTTACCACGTGTGCACCTGCGATATTTTTTTCCACATTTCCACTTCTGTATGCCGAGCCCGGTGGGAATGTTTTTCTAGTTTTACTTGAAAAGCGCTTTGTAATATGCAGCGCGCCACCGAATCCGCTTTGTATAAATACTTCCTGCACATAAAACCTGTCTACACTTTCTCACCGCGATGGTGAAGCTGTTTTTTACCTACAATGCCAGATCAGGAAAGAAGTGTAACCGTAGTAGTATTCGCATTTAGATACCTTATGGTGTTCAGGGGAATGTCACACCATTAATGTCAGAGCCACACAAAAAAGGTCCTGATCCGTGCGATGGACCATGACATTCCTATGTACAAAGGGTACTATAAAAGTTTTGCAATACAGCTTTATTTATTAACTTCGTTCAAAGTAGTTTCTACCACATTCGATACATTTCTCTATCTGCTAAAACCACTCTTAAACCAGCTCTGCCAAGTTTTACCCGGGAGTGCGGCACACCCGTTGTGCCAATGCCTCAGAAGGTCCTCATCGCTAGAAAACCGTTTTCCTTTTAGCTTCGTTTTCACGTGCGGTAACAGCCCAAGGTCGCAGTGAGCAAGACTATAAGGAGGGTGCTCAATAAGTTTCAGCCCAGCAGTGGTCAAATACAGGCTTTGGCTCGGCGAGCTCGAGCGTTGTCATGGTGGAGGTACCAAGTGTCTATTCTTGACTTTGGCCGCAGGATTTTCATAGGCTCTATGACTTTAGGCAGCCACTGTTCCGTGTACCACTTAGCTGTGACTGTCTTCTGTGTGTACAAAACGACACAATCCACAATCCAGCTCGATTTGAAAAATACAGCTATCATCGTAATAACCAGCCAAGTCTCGTCGCCTCTCACGATGCAGTTCACATGCCTATCAAAAATTTTCAGCATATTTCAGCAAGAAGTCGTACGAGGACAAGTCTTCTGGTCTTCCGTCAGAATATGCGGTACCCAGAGAGAACAGAGTCTCCTTACGTGTAAAAGGTAATGCAGAATTGAATGAACTGCTGATGCGTAAAGGCTTGAGGTCTCCTCTATCTGTTGGTATGTCACTCCTCGGTCTTTGTCAAGCATTTTCCTCACAGCTGTAATGTTTTCCTCTGTTATTGACGTTAGCGGCCTTCCTTCCCTCTCAGCGTCCTCCACAGTGAAATTGCCCCTCTGGAATTCTCTGTACCACCTGAATATGGTCGTACGATGACGACAATCATTCTTTTGTCATTTCTTCTAAGCACTGGTTTATGCTTAAACCACGCGTAAAGTTTTACCGTAAAACAGCCCTCATCTCACTACGTGACCACGATGCCATAGTCCGCGCTTCACACTGTCAATACGAATGAACAACTAAATCAACAGACCTGCTGCTGGCGGCTACACATGGACATGCAGAAACATGCAGCCTCCTGCGTCCGTTCGTTAAGTCATATTGCAAAACTTTTATAGTATCATTTTATATAACCTGCTGGCATCATCGCGTGACAGTATTTGGAGTTTTGTCAAAAGAGCAGTTTATTACTTCTGGTGTGCCTCAGGGCTCAAATTTAGGTCGTTTGTTATTTTGTATTTATGTAGCCGATATTGTCCATTAAAAATTAACACCTACAGTCGTACGCGAATGATACTCAACCGCTTTACTTCTTTTACCCTGAGGACTTCCAGAATTCAACTATGTAAATTAACGGGGACATTGGCTCTGTTTGCACCTACTCAGCCAATAACAGCCTTAATGCTTCTAAATCTTTGGCTGTGTTTTTTTGTACAAATCACAGAAGAGGTCAGTCAAAGCTTCTTTAATTATGTGTATTAATAATCAGAATCTTCCTTTTTCTGAGTCCAAGGATCCAATGCCTGGGTGTGTTGATCGATGAATATATGCGGCTTCGTAAACATTGGCGTTACTTCTTACAAATAGTTTAGATACGTCCAAGAACTCTGTACGCTTGCTGAATTTCAAAGTGCAATAAAAGCTCTGTGAATATTTTGTGTTACAAATTTTTAATTATTGCAATCTAGTTTATTATCCTTGCAGAATGCAGAATATCTGTGGTATAAAACTGTATACGGTGCATATCTAATGTAAATTTGTCCACGTTTCGGATCGTTTTAATAGGTTGGTTAAAGACGATACAATGGCCTTTAAACATAAGCCGCTTCCAATTTATTTACGTGAAAAACTAATTTTTAGATACAATGTTCATCAACGACCTATCCGTAACACATCTTCATTAACAATGCCCCTTCATAGTTCATCACTTTCATTCTCATATAATGCATGCATATGGTACAATAGTTTAGATGTTATAGAACAAAAAGCCTGCCTCTATATAGTTTTAGAGCTTTTCTGCTCAATGATGCTTTTAAAGACTTTTCTCCAGGATTTTATTTTTTTGCTAACATCTGTTTAGGTTGTGATCAGTTTCTTGACGTTTAATAGGTACAGCTGTACTTTTCTACTATCTAATATTTTTATGCAGTAAATGCATTATCTGTAATTTGCTTTAAATGAATGATGGTTCATTATTATTGTTAATTCCGATTCGGCGTTGAAAAATATACTAAGTGACATATAAATCCGAACACCCAGTTGAAATGGTTTTATTTTAATAAAAGTTGGTGAATGTATTTATCTTCCTGTAAATAACAAGCGAAAAAATTTTCAGCCTTATCAGTTGGACATTCCGGTTTTTATACTGCTTTTTTTTAATTCACTAACGCTCTAAAAATGAATATTTCAGCCGCAGTAAAGAATGAACGTTGGCGGATTTTGGTTCTTGACTTCTTTACGATCGGTTACGATGCCTAGAGTACGGAGACCTGTACGATTTCGTCAACTTAGTGAGTTTGATATGGGCCGTATAGTGGGACTTCGGGAAGCTGGACTTTCTTTTCGGGCAATTGCAGTTAGAGTGCAAGGAAGTGTAGACACTGTGGTTAGGTGCTGTCAGGCATGGCTTCGAGAAGGCCGTACGCAAAGAGCAAGGGGCACTGGACGCCGCCGTAGAACAACAGACCGTGAAGATCGCCGCCTAAGATTATTGGCCTTAAGGGACCGTTTCTCCACTACCAGGTCCATTGCAAATGAATGGTTTGCAGAAGACGGAAGACCTATTGGCATGCGAAGTGTTTACCGACGAATGAGAAGTTTTGGCTTGTTTTCATACCGGCCACACTGGGTCCTCCCTTTAACTCGAGAACACCGACGTAATCGCCTTGAGTGGTGCAGACAACGGTCATTCTGGGATCAGGAATGGGACAGTATTGTCTTTAGTGACGAGTCTCACTTTTGTTTAGGTATGCACGATGGTCGTGCCAGGGCTAGAAGGCGACGTGGTGAAAGGAGGAATCCACAGTTTTTTTTGAAAGACATGTTTATCACACTGTTGGAGTTATGGTTTGGGGTGCTATAGCTTATGGTTCCAGGTCACCTTCAATCTTCATCAGAGGTAACATGAACGCGCAGCGTTATATCCACGAAGTTCTAGAACCCCACCTTTTACCCTATCTTGACACCCTGGCAGATCCAACTTTCCAATAAGATAATGCCCGACCACATGTTGCAAGAGTCACAATAGACCTCTTTCAACATAATGATGTCACGTTGTTACCATGGCCACCAAGATCTCCCGACTTATCCCCAATTGAGCACGTGTGGGATATGATGGGTAGGAGATTGCTCAATTTGCAACGTCCTCCTCAGACTCTAGAAGCACTTCGAGAGGAGTTGGTGGTTGACTGGAATGAGATACCACAGGAGGACATTGACCACCTGATCATAAGCATGCCTGGGCGCGTTGGAGAATGCGTAGCACATCAGGGTGCATCAACACATTATTAAAGGTTAAAGGGCTTTAAAGCAGTGCAATCATTTTGAAATTTTTATCATTTACTTATTATGCTTCATTAAGTACTTATACAAAATTTTATTGAAATAAAACCATTTAAACTGGGTGTTCGGATTTATATGTCACTTAGTATATATGAATACCGTCATTGAATATCTGGTATCCGAAATTCAATTTCCCATGACCGTTTGGTCGAGGAGGCGAATTTCAGGGGTGTAGAAGTTTCGTTGACACCAAATTCGGAACCAAAACCGTGGTCGCGCATCTTGCACCCAAATTTCAATTTTCCACCCCCTTTTAGGGGTAGTGTTTGGACCCGGAAGCGGCGTAGGGACCTTTTCGAATTACGTCAAAAAATCCATAGGTGTGGCATGCTCCTGCATCTGGTATTCGAAACTCAATTCCCTCCCCTAGGGGGTAGTTTTTGCTCGAGGGTAAATTCTGTCTAGCAACTCTTTGGATTGCTGATTATAATTCAGCGTCGAAAGTCTGCCTCAAGGATCTCGTCCTTTACCATGAGGCTGAGGTCCGAACCATAGCAATTTACGTATGATACTGTCAGTGTCAATGGATTTCTACGAAACCTTATAAAACAGTAATTACTAACGTCCAGGCTTTACGCTTAATAAATATCACATTCCGTGATATATACGGATGGATCATAGTAAATATTGATCGTCTGCCATCCACTTCAGTGTCAGTGTTTTTCTAAATAATAACTGACCCCCAGACTACACGGCCAATAATATAGACAGTGACATTAGAAGTGTTACACACAGAAAATATAATTTCTTCAACTTGATTTTAAGGCAATAAGGTAGTTTTACACAAATAATGAAATGATAACATTCTCACGAAATTTTATTGACAAATAATATGGTAAAAAACTAATAATATGTTGGGTGACCCCGCAGCTGAATACACACCTGTATTGTTGTGGCACCTCATTTCAAGCAACTTGAACCTCGCGGATTAGGTGTGGCAGAGTCTGTGTCGGATGTGCAAGGTGGATAGTCTCCTCCCCATCATATCCCACACATGTTCGATAGGATTTAAATCCGGTTAACGGGATGGCAACGGTAAAACATTAACGGACGTGTGTACACAAAAAATTATAGTGTCAGGCTCCGACGAAATTATGCTAGTCCTCCACACATACTGGATATGAGAGCCACCTATGCAGGAAAAGTACAACGACTTGTTGTATAAAACTTACATCTAATAACACAAAAGCGTGGAATGGTCTCCGATAGCGCAATCTATGAAGCAACATTACGTCAGGGCTAAGCATATAGCACAAGTGTCTTGACGTTTTGGCACCATACACAGCAGTGGATGACACTTAGCTTCAAAGTGACAATTATGGCGATCAGCGTTACGTAATGACGGTGCCGCTGTTGGTAAACCTTTACACTGCGATTTTCTCAATCTCTCACCATCCAAATGATGATGATGATATATCTTCGAATGATTTCGTACCGTTGCTTGCTGTACTGGGCTTCCACACAAAGCTTACTATCTTTGTAGTACCTTTTTTTGTTAGTGAAAATGAAAGTTTCGTGAGCTAGACTTACGTGCTATCTGTTTTACGCGTTACTGTTTAGAGCAGCAATCCCGTACAAAGAATGGAACGTCATAAAACTCGAAGGCAGCTTTTTTATGATTAACGCCATAATCTAACCGCTAAATAGTCGTTAAATGCCCAACAGCCTGCGGCATAAAAAGCATTCTAACAGTTATTTTATACCGCAGCAAGCACGGCACCAGAAGGTATTGGCAAAATGTACAAGCTTTAAAAAAGTAAAATCACTTCCGGAAAAGGTTCATTCCTTTATGTCCTGTTATTTTGTCTTAGTCGCTGTGACAAAGATTTCGCTGGTACGGTTTTTGGATTTAACTTGTATCGATGAATGCTGCTAGGACAGAAAATAGATAACGTTTTCCCAATTTTCTGGTGAATTATTGGATCAATAATGATCAACTTGGCGCTATGATAGTGGTAGAGGGTTTGCCGCCATTTTGATCAAAAATACGAAATCTATGGATTCTGTTTAAAAAAGTATATTGAAATTCAATGAAAGTAAAAAGACGGATTTTAATTGTTGATTGCTACTTTGAAGTTTCTATTTCACGGCCTACAGCTTGAATGGCTGGATGGATTTTGACATATATGAGGTGCCACAATTTTTGTTAAAAAGCGGGTGAAGCTGGGTATGTCAATAATAATTGAGTGGATACAAATAACAAACATAAACATTCATGTTGGACCAATTTGCTCCCCAGGGTAAATTTTTCTCCAAAATAGAAAATTGTACCTAAAGTTCGCAACTGAGGAGATTTGAAGTTGAAAATAATATAGGTTCATATTGAGACCTTACAACGACACGTCTGCGTG